TCTGGGAGTTGAAGTCCACTCATCTTAAAGTGGCCAAGTTTGGACAACACTGCTCTATCCCCTTTCCCCCCCCCGGGAAACATGTCAAAGAGTGCCCCTTCTTCACCTTTCCCCAGGTGGGTGTTGATGCTCATGTACCGTGCCGTTCCTGTCAGGCTCTTGTGCTCTCGGTAGGGGATATGCTTTTTGGTCTCTGGGTCAATGTACTCTTTGGCCAGGCCAAAGTCAATTATGTGGATGGTGTGCTGACGCTTGCTTCCGGGCCGCCCCACCAGGAAGTTTTCTGGCTTTACGTCTCTGTAGATCAGGCTTTTGGTGTGGACGTACTCCATCCGTGTAATCTGGTTAAGAAGCGAAGCCAGGGAGGTTTACTGATCAGAATACAGTTAAAAGCTTGACTAAAACATCCAACATCAGAAGTTCTCTTCCTAGAACTTTTAACAGCAAGATGTGTTCATTCAGCCTGGTAAGCCCACCTACAAAAATTACTACTCTCTAATTTTTTGAGATTAACCTTTCTTCAAGCTCAGTAAGGAAACAAAGCTACTCTGCAGGTTAAAGAGAAAACTAGCTTCTACTGCGTTTTTGTGCTGAAGATTTTTCTCCACACAAATCAAGAAGGCTAATGAAGGAAGAATTGAGCAACTCACTGCCTTGGCAGCTGCTCCTTAAACCAGAGAATTCCAGGTTACTGGAATGCTTTAACTGAGCAGGAGGCTGGACTGGTTCTAAGTCAAGGGAATTCTGGGAGTTGAAGTCCACATATCTTAAAGTTGTCAAGGTTGAGAAACACTGCTCTACAGAATGGATGCTCACCAGTTGGATGGCAATCATAAGAACGGTCTTGAGAGTGAATGTCCGGTCACACAGGTCAAAGAGGTCTTCCAGGCTTGGGCCGAGCAACTCCAAGACCATGGCGTTGTACTTTCCACATGGGCCAAAGTAGTACACCTGAGGGATTCCTTCTGGAAAGGGTGGAAAATAAAGTGGTGTGGGTGCAAAGGGATGGTTGGGAGAGGTGAATATGACTCTACATTTTACTTCTAGATTACGAAGCCACAAAGATAAGCAGCCTATGATATGCCACATGCAGGAATATAAATGGATAGCACTATAACAGAGTGTTGAAATGTCACACTCGCTGGCCTTAGGGCAGTTACTCCAGGTGGCATCTGTGGGACTCCATTTAAAAAAAAAAATCTGAAATCTTGTAAGATCCCCAAACTTCCAGATGTTTTAGTTCCTGTCAGCATTAGCCCATGGCAATTGTGAATTATAATCCAAAAAGGCATCAAGTTACCTAAAATACAGCCTTCCCTGAGTCTAGCTCAACTCCTGGTTACTATCAGAATATGCCCATAATGGTTTTTGGGGGGCAATAACACAGGAGTTATTCCTACAGGACCTACTCCTACTTGCCTTGTTCCATGACAGAAAATACCGTGTTTCTGCTGTGGACAGAAAAGCGAATGAGGGAAAACACAATGGAATATGTCAGAGGAGGGCATGGTTGGTTGGTAAGTGCCATTCTGCAGCTCCTATTTGAAGGCCTTATAATCCCTGGGGAGAGAAAAGTCTTCTCTATGTGTACCCCAGCTTTTCCTTTGTACTGTATTTTTAACAGATGAAATTTTAAAGTATTATTCACACATGAGTCCACAGAAGATAAAAAATGTAAAAATGTACCACACAGCAAAATCTTTAAACACCTGCAGCAGAATCAATACGCAAATAAAAATTCATTATTACTGAGGTGAAGTTTTTATTAAACAATAAAAGCCTAAGGAAAAAAGAGCTTTAGAAGGAAGAATGATTAGGACAGTGGGGACAGGAGAGAGATTAGTAATAAGATAATCAGTGTTAACAAGGCTTATTAAGAAAGCATGTTCCAAGCACTAAGCTTCTTACAATCACTCTTAAAACAAAGCAACAATTCCTTTGTACTCATGAGGACAAGAAAACTGAAAGAACTTAAAAAAAAAAAAAGTCCTCTGGGTAGTTCTACAAGTCTGTTGCTTTTACTCACCTGCATTGCCAAGCTGTTTGTAGAATCGGTACTCCAAATGCAACTGAGGAGCTCTGGATTTGATAGGTTCCTAGAGAAAGGAAAAGTTACAAATCCTATTATCACCCCTGTTAATGAAACAGGAGGTAATTACAAACAAACAGGGAAGGTGATTGTTGAGTGGAGGCAAACTAAGGCTGCAGGACCACCTGACTGAACGCAATGGGACTTGCATCTGAGTAAACGTTCAGGCCATCAAGCCAACTCTATGCTCAGTGCAGGAATCATTCAAAGCCCACCAATTAGCCCGACCCTCCAACTGTGTTGCGACCACAACTCCCAGAATTCTTTCCAAAAAACAAAATGGCAATGCCAGCTAGGCACTTGGGGAGATGGAATCCCAGCACTTCTGGAAAGAATGCAGTTAGGGCAGACTACATTAAAGAAGGGGGGACAAATTGTTAGGGATGGCTGTGATAGCAAAACAGAAGAACTAGCCAAGTTCTAACTCCTTCCAGTAATTATGGGGAGAAATACCAACGCACCACCAATTTTAGAAGCATAGTCACATTAGTAAGTCTCAGCAAGAACAGGCTGGAGCCTTGTGGTACTTGAAAGGCTAGGACAATCATTACGGGCCAAACATTTGTGGGATTTTCATCAAGCCAAACCTTCCGCTGCTATCAGCCTTTGAGGCGCGACTAGATGACTTGATTTTTTTCACAGGACAAGTTCATATGCATCAATCAATATTTTACCCTAACTTAAAATCAAAGTGACAATTATTGTGTGAAGTTTCTCACTTTCTTGAGAGGAACTGTTCTCTCTCTAACCGATTCACTGGAGACTGGCTGCTAATCCAAACAGACCACACTAAGCATGACAGAGATCAACAGTGTGACCACTGTAATATGAAAGACAGATTTAGATCCACAGCCCAATAGCAGGCCACAAGCCTGGCATACAGAAGAATCTAGGTACATTCATTTAAAAGGAGCAAATACTTGCGAACTCTCACCAGTCGGAAGAGTCAGTACTGGTGAGCTAAATTAATTCAACACTGACTTTGCACGAGGCAAGTAATAAAACCAGTCTGCACTTAGCAAAGCAAAATTCAGAACCAAGAAAAAACCAGGTGAAGGAAGGAAGGAGAGTGTAACACAGCCTTCTCTAATGTATTTATTCCAGATAGGAATGGATTCTAACTCCTAGAATTCCACATGCTGGCTATAGAGTTATGGGGGTTCCTGTTTCAAAATGTGTGGTGGGCACTAGGTTGGAGAAGGCTGTAATAACACATACATGCCCTGGGTATATGGGGCCATAAGCGAAATGATGGGAAACTCCAGGACTCCAACACTCAGGGGAATATGCTGGCTGTTTTGGATGTAGAGAACTAGATTCAAATCACTCTTTAGCCCCTAATATAAATCATGACATTTGGCTTCTATTAATTTATAGGACTGCAAAGAGGATAACAACTGCTATAGAACAGGGGTCTTCACACTCTTTAAAGCTGTGGAACTTAGTTAAAAAAATATTTATTGGAATCCTTGATCTGCAAAACGGTGCCATGGTGTTTTTTTCATGGGAGAACAAGCCCCATCCTTTTCGCTGTACTTTTGGCTGTGCTTGAGTTAACTTCTTTGTTTTGTTCCATCCTTGGTCTCTAATGGAAACTCATCAAGTTCTCAAGAATCTTAGGGATCCTAGAAACACAGTTTGAAAAACCCTGATTTAGAGGACAGGGTATACATGTGAACTAAGTAAAACAGGATTTTCCACAAACTCTGGATTATTTCAGTAATGCAAGGCAATACAATGTTTTCTCCATCTCCTCCAAGAACCTGGAAACATCAGATCAGTAATATGTGTCTAGTTCAGTGTTTTTCAAACTTGGCAACGTTAAGATGTGTGGACTTCAACTCCCAGAATGCTGGCTGTGGGATTCTGGGAGTTGAAGTCCACACATCTTAAAGTGGCCAAGTTTGAAAAACACTGATCTAGTTTATTAGAAATTAGTGGGAAGGAAGGAAAGGAGCAGTTTCAAAGCCTGACCACAAAATGCACTAGAAATAAGCTTACCAACTTGATTGCTACATATTCATTTGTGTAGAGGTTCTTCCCTGTAAAATAAGAAAGAGAATTGAGAGAAAAACAAACATTTCCCATTTAGGATCATTGCACTGGGAGATCACTCAAGACAGTTTTGTGGAGAAAATATGCTAACAATACTCTGACTTCTAATTTAGGGGCATACTGGTGGACTGAAAAAGACTGAAGAAGTCATGAACACAGAGCCTGCTCATTAAAGGACAACTCACTGACCACAAAACAAGATTTAAACAGACATCTGCTGCATGAATCTAGAGACAACCAGAATGCGATGAGTGTCCCCCCTGGTTGATGCAAAATAAAAACTCTCACAAGAGATGCAAAACAACAATGTGGTTTTTTGGGTAGGAATATACAAGTGGTTTGCCACTGTCTGGCGATGCTTTTTCAACTGCCCAGTCTAGCCTACAGCCCGGCCCTGGGATTTCCGTGTAGTGTCCCTTCAAAGTACAAACCGAGTCTGACCTTGTTTAGCTTTTCCAAGATCAGTAAAGACTGGCTAGGCGCTGCCCCCTGTTGCAAAACTCCAATGAAAAAAACCTAAAATAGATGATAAAAAGGACCGTTCTCTTTTTGACATTCCAGACACAGGAAATGTCAACCAAACGAAATCACACATGGCTTTCAGAACTGATAACCTGACCATGATTCTCTCTATTTATTGGCTATTTAAGTGTCATCTCCCCTTTTCACCCAAAAAAGGAGGATCACATCCTTTTTCCCCACATTCATGGCTAAAGGGTAATGCAATTAAAAAAAAATGGCAACAGAGGCACAGGACCTGCTTCAGAGAGAGGGAGAGAGAAAGACTGTAGACCGGGCCTGTATAACCTGCGGCCTGCCGCCATTTTTAAAAAACTCAATTAAATTCACTGCCATTACACACGGCTGCTGCCAGGAAGGATCTACTGCCACCATCCCAAAAGACACACTGTTGAGCGCCTCCAAGCCTCACCGATGCCCCCAAGTCCATCGCTGCTACTGCTTTGCTCGCCACCGAACAACTGATTGGCACACCAGCTATTCCTTTGTGGCCCGCAACTGTTTTTAATTTTATCAAGATGGTCCTTTCTATAAGTTGTGCAGGTCTGCTGTAGATAGAAAGGGAGCTGGAAGGGACCATTTATGAATGCAGCCATCCTAGTTAAAGTGCCCCCCCTGCAAAATGTGATTGTCTAGCCCAGTGTTGTCCAAACTTGGCCACTTTAAGATGAGTGGACTTCAACTCCCAGAATTCCCCAGCCAGCATGTTGAATATGGAGTGGAGTTGAAGTCCACTCATCTTAAAGTGGCCAAGTTTGGACAACACTGGGCTAGCCTGCCTGAACACATTTAGAGAAGCAGCACTCACCACTACCCTTGGTAGATGATTCCTCTCATCATACAGATTTTTCTTCCTACTGGAATCCTGTAACTTCCGATAACTTAGGCCCTTTATTCTGTATCCTACACTCAATGAAATGCTTGAAAAGTATTGTCATATTCTAACTCCTGTCTCATCTTCTTTTCTCAAGATGAAACACAGCAGTTCCCTTGGTACTTCTTCATAAACCAGTTTCCATTCCCTTGATCATCAGGGGAGGACAGGGTTATCAAAGGCTCCAGACTGGGAGCAACCTACCTTCAATTACCAGTTGCAGGGAAACAATAAATAATAGCAAAAGAGAAGTATATCTTACCGTCTGCTTGCAAGCCCTTCAAAAGCATATGGGTGGCCATTGCTAGAATTAAAATGGACTGAAATGGGCCTTGGACTGAACCAACAGAGTTACTTATATTTTTTATCATCCTTGACCATCTTTCTCTATATTTCTTATAATTTTTCTGAGCAATTCTTAAAACATGGTGACCAAAACTGGGTGTAATATGCATCCTGACCAATGCAGAATAGAATGGAATTATTATTTCCTGAGATTTGGAAATTATCATTCTACCGATGCAACCTAATACTGCATTTGCTTTTTTGGCAGCCATGTCTCGCTGCTAACCCATATTCAGCAGGTGATCAACACCAATTCCAAGATCCTTTTTGCATGTATTACTACTAGGCCAGGTATCCTCCCATCTTTCATCTGTGTGTTTGATTTTTGTTCAAAATAAAAAGTGCTGCATCTGTCTCTTTTAAAGTTCAATGTTATTTCCAGCCCATTTCTCTAATCTATTGTGATCATTTTGTTTCTGTTGTCTAGATTCTTAACCATCCTGCCCAGTTTTATATCACCTGCAAATTTAATAAGTATTTCCTCCACACCTCTTCATCCAGGTCATTCATAAAAAAAGAAAAGAAAAAACACTGAAGAGCACAGGTAGTCTTCATTTAGCAACCACAATTGGGACAGGTAACTTGGTTGTTAAGCAAAGCAGTTGCTAAGTGAAACCATGTCTGTGCTTACAATCTTATTTCAGCTTTCCTTTGCTTTACAGACCAGTAAAGGTCATAAATGAGAGGGTTGGTCGCAAAGTTACTTTTTCATCACCACTGTAACTGCAAACAGTTGCTAAACGAGGCAGTCACTAAACAAGGGCTACTTGTATAGGGCTTAGGAGTAAACACTGTGGTGATCCACTGAATACCTCACTCCAGTCTGAAGTGGAACTATTAATTTCAGTACAATTTTCAAACCAACTATTAATTTAATAGGCACATTATTCAACTCATACTCCGTTAGCTTGCTGATCAGAATATCATGGGGCACTTTTTCAAATGCTTTACTGAAATCAAGATATATTACGTCCACAGCTTTCCCACACTTTACTACAGAAGGCAGCCAATCAAAAAATGATGTCAGCTAATCTTACAAGACTTGTTCTTGATAAATCCATGGTAATATACAGTAGTCACTGCACTGTAGTTTCCTGTTCTACTTATTCTGTACTCCATTCATTCTGAGATTTCTCAAGACCAGCCAAACCACCAGCACATTCCTTCAGTACCCTGGGATGCAATCCATCTGGGCCTAGAAATTTCCAAGTCAGTTATATTCTTCATAAACATCCCATGGACTAAAATGGGAGTTGAGAAGCTTGCTTTTTCTTTACTGTCATTCTTTTCTATTGCCACTAAGCAGTTGGCATACTGTTTCTCTTCCTTTTATTTTGGACATACAAAGTCCAAAAGTAAACCTTTGTTACTCCTTTTAGCATCCTGCAGCTTTAGTCTTTCTGACACTAACTCAGCCAATTCTGGTCTATCTCTGTATGCTCTTCCTTAGTAACCTGTCCTTTTCCAACCTCCCACAGACACGCTTTTTGATTCTCAGATATTCATTAAGCTCATGGACATAAACTGGCTTCTTCTACTGTTGGAACTGTTTGCAATTTTACTGTCAGTGTCTCTTTTTTATGAGCACTTCCCCATCTTGCCCGGTAACCAGCAGGCACAGCTGCCGCCAGTCTCTGAAGATGAGGAGTATAAGCTGCCCCCCACCCCAATGCAAGGGCTTGTCATGCAGAGAGGAGAGCAGAGCAAGGCTCCTCACAAGAAAAGAGCCTCGCCCTTCTAAATGAGCAACACCGGGGCTGCTCCTATTTAAGAGCAGCAGTGAGCTTAAGCCTCCCCATTGGCAATAAGTGCTCATTTTCCCAGACTCCATGTGCCTTGGCTCCTGATTTGAAACCTCCTGATTTTGACTCTGGACCTGGACTGGCTGACAAACCTTCTACAATGTTTGGACCCTTGGACTTCGCTTGACCACTCTCGTGCCTGCTGTTTTGGACTAGGACTCTTTTAAGGCAAGCTTGCTGAACTTTTGGGGACTTGTTTCTCTACTGTGTGTGTGCGCATGCAAGTTCATCTGCACTCACATTTCCTTTATTTACTTCACAAAACTTATCAGTAAAGTTTGTAACCACCTCTCTGTGTGCTTGGCCTGGGACAGGACATCATCTACCATGAATTCATTGCTTTGGATTCTGTTTTTTTTCTTGGTTCAAGGTATGGTTTCCACTCTACACAGCTTTAATTTCTCTTAAAAATCAAGAATTCCAGGCTTCTATGGACACTTCCCCTAAAAATTGCTGCCACCTCCACTTTGTCTATTAAGTCTTCCATATTAGTTAGTATGAAATTATTGGTTAATATCTGATCCCCCTGAGATTAGATCAGAATCCTCATTACTGGCTTTCCAAAAACAATTAAGGACAGAGGCCAGGCCTCTGGGGAATGGTCACTATTACACTTAAGGTTTAACGGTTGCTTGTGTTTTTAATCAGCTTTTACGTTTTTACTCTGTTTTTATGTGGTAAAAAGCCAGTAAATAAATAAATAAATATCTGGTGGTATATAAACATAAAGAAGGGGAAATGGTGCTGATGCACTCACAAGCATAATACAGTAAGCAAACAGAATAGCTGACTTTTCCTTGCCTTCCTCTCCTCTTTGAATGAGAGAGCTGTCAGCGAGACGTCAGGAATTTTCTGAAAGGTTTACAACAGGCACAATATCTTCAACCCCGTAGGCCTTTCAGGAGACCTTAAAAGCCTGGATCTTCCCTCTAGCAAGGGTGCTAGTGGAGCCTGGCTCTGTGGTTTGCTCTGCTTTGTTAAGGAGCTGGTGATTTTTACCTGGCGTACTGCTCTTTTCACTGGTTTGAATGCTTTTGTTTTATGCCTGGTTAGCTGCCCGGAGTTATTGGATTAAGGATGGGCAAACAAATAAATGAGTCTCCCAAGTATGGTGGGATGATTAATGCCCCCATTCCTACTGCTGCAATTTGTTTTGGGAAAATCATCCACATGTTCGGCCTGAATGGTTGATCGGCAGCAGTCACCAATCACAGCAGGTGGCAGAATCTAGCCAACCTTGGCTGATTTTAGGGAAGCGAAACAGGACCAGGCCTGGTTAGTATTTAGACAGCGAAATCCCAGAGCTACAGACTGGGAAGGCAAAAAACATCCTGGAAAAATGCAATGGTAAGCCATTTCCAATTAAAACTCCACAGACATAGATATGTAACCACTAGGAGTGAAGTCAAACTCAAGGGAGTTTATCAATTTTTAGTAGGTACCAACA